CCCACAGGTAATGCTAGTCTTGGTTTGTGGATATTAGTACTCCATGCATTCAGGCTGGAGGAGTGAGAACCTACAATCATTTCTGAATTAAAAGAGGAGCAATTTCTTGGTAAGGCAGTTCGTGCCTGTAGTCCCAGCACTTTGGGACACCAAGGCTGGTGGATCACTTGTGTTGAAGAACAACCTGGCCTGCATGACAAAAATTTGTCTCTGCTAACAATTTAGGGAAAAAAAAATAGCCTAAACTCTGTCTTTGCTAACAATACAAGAAAAAATATATATACATGCCTTTAGTCCTAGCAACTTGGGAGGCTGAGGCATGAGAATTGTTTGAACCTAGGAAGCAAAGGTTGCAGTGAGCTAAGACTGTGCCACTGCACTTCAGCCTGAGTAACATAGCAAAACTGTGTCTCAAAAAAAAAAAGGCATATAATTTTATATTTACTTTCCTACAATCTAAAATTACAAATAATATGACTACATTCTAATATTTTCCTGATTACATATAAATGCATGACTGTCATCAGATATCCAAAAGGCACCAAATGTCTAACATGAAGTATGAAATCAGTCTGTAGCCTTAGCCCTCTGCAAAATGCAGGGCTTACCATTCTGAGTATATTGTTCAAGTTTCTTCCCTGTGACTGCTTCAGGTTCTGTCATTTATTAACACCGTGCATCTAAAATCGTCACTGCTGGTCAGCTGGAAGAATCTGAGAAGGAGCAGGTCCTTGTTCTCATTCTCAGAGCTGCATCCTCTGCTGACTAGGGTCAGGGTGCTTGCAGCTCAAGCCTCATCTGATCCACTGACAGGCTCAGTTACCTCCTGGCCAGAGAAGGGGTGGACTTCTCTATCCAGGGCTGAATCTCCAGGATCAGGCAGTGTGTCTGGGACAAGCCAGTCCTCAGCAGGGAAGGCATAAGCTGCCCGCGTGGCCATGGCATAGAAAGTCTGCACATGAGCACACAGAGCCCCCCGGAGCTGAGTGAGCCATGTGAACTGCTCCCAGGTCAGTGGAGAATGGACAAGCTGTGCCCACACCTGGGCTAGGTCTTGATAAATAGCCTCTGACATAGCTCGCACAGAGGTCACCAAGCTTTTTCGAAGTAACAGTGGTTGAACTCCTAGTGCCCGAGACCTGTGCCGCTTGCTGTGTCCAGTGCGAGCCCTCAAATATCTCCTATGGTGGGCATCACAGGTCTCCTGGATTCCACTGTTGTGCACAGCAGTGGAGGACTTTGGCTTTGTTTTCATTGTTAGGCTGCACTCCTCTTCTAGACAGTTCCCTACAGAGAAAGCATGTGAGAGACTCGCCAGAACAGTTCCCACAGACCGTCATTTCTGGAAGCTCCTGTGTGCTCAGGTGAACCCCACTTGTCTCTCCCACTGGAATAAAGTGAGGCTGAACCCCTTCTGAGTCCCCAAATATATTCTGGATGCTAAGATCTCAAAAATTTTCTTGTCACTAAGTAATTCCCTTCCTGCTCACGCCTCGTATAAAACTTTTCTGATTATTTGCCCTTTGGGGCAAAACAAAACAAAATAAAAACACCACCAACAAAAAACTCCAGGATCCTACCTGCTCTGTCTTGGCAGCTCTCCTTGGAACTGATTGTTCTTTTCCTGCAGTTTCCCTGACATGAGCTGGACTCTGGTTCTGTGGATACAATGAGAGTTTGAGAAAGCGCCTCCAACTGAACACCCTGAAATTCAAAGTCCATCCTGGACACTCAGGAGCTGAGGTTGCCACCAAACCCCAGCTCTCTTCTGTTCTCCAGTGTCCAAAATCTGTAAGGCTCTGGCTGCCAAGGAGCTCCCAGTTTCCTTGCCAGGGGAGCCTGTGGTGCTGCCCTGTCCCTTCCCACCTTGAAACAGTCAAATCTTACCTGATCTAGCAGTGCTGTTTTCGGCGTTTAGCTTGGTTTTCTCAGAATTCTCCTCATTTGGATTGGGCTCCGATTCTACTGCAAAAGAAAGTTTAAGTAACTCACCTCTCCCTAGGCAGAGTCCCATAGTCTATCTCTGATGCATGTGTGTGGACAGTCTTCCAAGTGGAGCTCTTCTGCCAGCGTCATGAATGAACACATTTCTCAAAGCTCTCTGAGGACGCTAAACCAGTTCCCATCCCCAATCTCAAAATAAAACCCTAACAAAGACACATAGCTCAGTATCTCTGATTCCAGCCCTCCTTCCAGCCTCCATAGAAACAGCCCAAGGGCTTACCTTGCCTTTGTGTGTGCTTCTCATTGGATTGAGGGGAGGCGGTGTCGTCTTTTCTTTTGAATGGTTTCTTCTCATCTGAGCCCTTTTCTGTAAAGGACATCTGCTGGAAATGGGGCTGGACTGTGGAGCTTTGGATAGAGGAGCAGTGGAGATGGGAGTTTTCATTTCCCCTTCCCATGTTGAAGCTCAAGTGAAAGGTGCTCTCTCTTACACGTCCAAATGCAGAGTGTGCGTTAGTCTGCGGGACTTGCCTTTTATACCTCCCTCTGCTGGGCGTGGCTTACTCTTATTGGCTGAATCGTTTTCTCCTTTCTGTTACTTATTAGAGCCTCAATAAGAAGTTTCTTACTGTAGTTCTACTGGGGACCTAGACACAGATAAAGGGAGACGTTTTCAGAATCCTGTCATAGTGTCAAGAAAACAAATAACCAGGAGCACAGGGATCAGAAGATCGGGGAATCATTCCTTCTGATTTCTGTCTCCGTTCCTATTGCAAGTATTTATGATCCTGTTCATCATTCAAGATGCAGAATTAGACATACTTATATTGACACATGTTATATATTTTGCACAGAAAGAGATTTTGGTTGATTGTATTAGATTTAAACAAATGTGATAAAATGAAAATGCAGAGAAAAACTAAATACCAAATAAAATGGCCCTTCCTACCTTAAAAATGAGGAAGATAATTAGATCACACACAATAAAATTGAATGATTAGGTTAGAGCCAATGCTAACCTAATCAGGCCCTGATTTCTGAGGTAGCAAAAAGTCGAGGTGGAAAAACTTGCCCCCTTTCTCACACTTCT